AGGAACTAAATCCCACATGATGCAAGTAAGATTTCGCATGACTCCACTAAAAATCCCACATGACACAAGGAAGACCGAAGATCTCACTTGCTGTAACTAAGACCCAATGGAGCCAAATAAATATTTTAAAAAAGAAGGAGGAGGGTTTAAGAGCCATTTTCAGGTTTGGGGCCTCTAGCTTGAGATTACTGGGAAAGTTTTAAAAGCTTTAAGGGATTCATGCACAGTCACTTCAGTCGTGTGAAACTCTTCACAACCTTGTGGACTGTAGCCCACCATGCTCCCTTGTCTGTGGGATTCTTCAGAAAGAATACTGGAATGGGTTGCCATTTCCTTCTCCAGGGGATTTTCCTGACCCAGAAATCAAACCTTCGTCTCTTATATCTCCTGCATTGGCAGGCAGTTTCACCACTAGGGCCACCTGGGAAGCCCCCATGTTTTAAGGGGGTGGAGGTGACACAGTTACTATTGCAGTTTGAAAAGATTACTCCAACTATGGAGAAGAAAAAGGGACAGGATGGGGAGTAGAGTGGAGCCAAGATGGAATAAGAAGGGTCAGGAGATGATTGCAGGGGTTAGGCTGAAGGTTTTTAACTTCAGCTACATCACTTTAAAAAATCCAGATGCCAAGGATATACCCAATATCAATTAAGTCAGAATCTCCTGGTGGGAGGAAGAAGGTCCCAGGCATCAGTAATTTGTAAAACTCCCCAGATAATTCCTTTGTACAGCCAAGTTGGGAACCAGTGCTTCAGGCAGCTGATGATGGGAGGCAGTGAAACCGACCAGGTGCTAGGCCTTCCCCAAGCAATAGAAATTGACTAGAGGCCAGACAAGAAATTCAGGCAAGACTTTTACTGGGGCTCCTGAGCTAGCTGTAGGAGGGAGCAAGAACAAGTAAACAGGTTCCCTTGTTCAGTAGATGGTAGAGCTGGTTCCTTATATGAGATGTGAGTAGAAGTATGCTCAGGGATGGGGCTTAGGTGTTTTGCCCACCTCTTTGGTGGTGGTGTGTGCAGGGGGCATGTGTAGAGCCAAAGCTCCCGAGACACTCTTTTTGCTTCCAGCTCCTCAGAAGTGGCAGTTGGGATTTTTGCTTTTTGTATCTTGTTGTCTATGACTTCCCCCAACTGCCTGCATGCAGTTATTTTTAGTCTTTTCTCATTTCTCTGTATTAATATTTTGTTACTGGAGAAGTTTTTCCAGGTGTAAGCATTATAGCACCGCAGCAAAGGGTCCCAGGTGCCCAGTCTGCCTAGTAACAGCACAGAGTGCATGCATCCCTGTGTGCTAAGTCACTTCAGTCGTGTCTGACTCTATGCGACACCATGGACCGTAGACTGCCAGGCTCCTCTGTCCACAGGATTCTTCAGCAAGAATACTGGAGTAGGTTGCCATGCCCTCCTTCAGAGAATCTTCCCGACCCAAAGATTGAACCCAAGTCTCCTGCATTGGCAGGTAGGTTCTTTATCACTAGCACCACCTTAAAGGCAGAGGAACCAGAAATCAAATTGCCAACATCCGCTGGATCATCGAAAAAGCAAACGAGTTCCAGAAAAACATCTATTTCTGCTTTATTGACTATGCCAAAGCCTTTGACTGGGTGCATCACAATAAACGGTGGGAAATTCTGAAAGAGATGGGAATATCAGACCACCTGACCTGCTTCTTGAGAAATCTGTATGCAGGTCAGGAGGCAACAGTTAGAACTGGACATAAAACAACAGACTGGTTCCAAATAGGAAAAGGAGTATGTCAAGGCTGTATATTTTCACCATGCTTGTTTTTTAACTTATATGCATCATGAGAAATGTTGGGCTAGATGAAGCACAAGCTGGAATCAAGATTGCTGGGAGAAGTATCAATTACCTTACATATGCAGATGACACCACTCTTAATGGCAGAAAGTGAAGAAGTAAAGAGCCTCTTGACGAAAGTGAAAGAAGAGAGTGAAAAAGTTGGCTTAAAGCTCAACATTCAGAAAACTAAGATCATGGCATCCAGTCCCATCACTTCATGGCAAATAGATGGGGAAACAGTGGAAACAGTGACAGACTTTATTTTGCGGGGCTCCAAAATCACTGCAGATGGTGACTGCAGCCATGAAATTAAGACGCTTCTCCAACCTAGACAGCATATTAAAATGCAGAGACATTATTTTGCCAACAAAGGTCCATCTAGCCAAGGCTATGGTTTTTCCAGTAGTCACAAATAGATGTGAGAGTTGAACTATAAAGAAAGGTGAGCGCCGAAGAATTGATGCTTTTGAACTGTGGTGTTGGAGAAGACTCTTGAGAGTCCGTTAGACTGCAAGGAGATCCAACCAGTCCATCCTAAGATCAGTCCTGAGTGTCCATTGGAAGGAGTGGAAACTCCAATACTTTGGCCAAAGAGCTGACTCATTTGTAAAGACCCTGATGCTGGGAAAGACTGAAGGCAGGAGGAGAAGGGGACGACAGAGGATGAGATGGTTGGATGGCATCACCAACTCAATGGACATGAGTTTGGGTGAACTCTGGCAGTTGGTGATGGACAGGGAGCCCTGGCGTGCTGCAGTCCATGGAGTCGCAAAGAGTCGAACACAACTGAGAGACTGAACTGAACTGAACCACCTTACATGGATTTTAGAGATACTTAGGTGGCAATTATTTTGTAAACAACTATCAGGCATGCCAAGGGCTGGTTTGCAAGAGACCTAACAGAGAATTATTACGAAGCTGAGCACTGATTGAATTGAGATTTGTTTAATTCAAGAAACTGACTCCTTGAAGGAGTATTTGGGGGAAGGCCTTTCACAGAATAAGAGAAAGTACTATTACAGTGTTTATCAAAGGTGTAAGACTGTTTTTAAATCTTATCCATTTGACCAGTCTTTGTCATCAGAGTTTAAGGGCCAAGTTCCTGTCTAGATTAGCAATTTGCATTTCATGTTCAGTTCTTACCTCTTATTTGGGAACAGTTAAAGAACAGATTATATACAGACCATGACAAATTATGGTTACTGGCTAAGAAATTCCTCCTCAGTAAAAGTTCTTTCTCAGCACACAGGGGTTCATTTATTTGGGAAATATTTATTAAGCATTGACTATGTGCAAGACACAGTAGAAGAGAAGATTCTGTTCTCAGGGAATCTATAGCCTGCGAGGGTGAGATGGCCCCTCAGATGAAAGTTGCACTTGTTTTATGCACCTTGGTGCCAAATAATTAAAAAACCTCATTCTTCCAAAATAAAATACATTCTTTTCGTAGCAGTGTGACCCTTAGATTCTGACCTTCAGTTTTCTCACATGCAAAAAGGATAAAAATAGTATCGACCTAATAGAACTGAGTTACCCATATAAATAATGTAGCATCGTGCCTGTGCATAACATTAAGAAACCTCCAAAACTGTTAGCTATTACTAATAATCAAGGACAAACATGTGTCACAATAAAAGTTTGTTTTTAAAAAAACCTAATACACTGGAATGATATCTTTCACTGGGATTAATTTCTAAAACTAGGGCATAAAGTAATAATCATATATAATCAACGTTATCCTTTAAAATTTCTTAATTGCCCAAAGTGATAATATTAAATAATACTAAATCATTAAATCATTTGGAATACATGGGATTCTTCAGCAAGTTGGTTACATTTTCTCTGTGGTTCTCAACTAATTTTTCACTTCATTTCTCAGCAATGAATTTCAAAGCAGTCATCACACACAAATTCACATGAACAATAATTTGACTTTTGTCAAATGATATAGAAATCTAAAAAATCATTTCACAGTTCTTTCCATACTATTCCCCACCCCCAAATTTGTATAGTATATTTCAGACTTGATAGCACCCACTATCAGAAGGCATATATATGCAGTAAGTGGAATAGCAGGAGAAATCCTCCCAAAATGTTGTTGTGTTCTTAAAACATTTACTGTAGAATTTACCTGGTTAAATGTATCTAATTCAGCTCCATAATTCTCATAACAAAGGTCACTAAGGCTATCAAGTAGGATTCCTAGCACTTCTAAACATCATTAATATATTTCCCTGGAATACAATGTAATCCTTAAGAAGGTCAGAGTTATTATTTAATCCAATAGTAAGCTTTGAGAAGTCAAAGTTAACCATAGTAACCAACTACGGACAGCATCACATTTAGTTAAATCTGATTTTTAAAATCTTCCAGACATGGCATTTCCAGCTATATTTCCTGAGTAAATGAAATGTTATTCATTCTTAATATTAAAAATGTTTATTTCTTTAAATGCTGTTGAAGTGCTATGGAAGGTGGAGAGAACAATGAAGAGATTAGGGACTTTGGGGCCTGATAATTCTGGGTCAAATGTGGGCTCCTCCTCTCACAAGTCCTGTAAACTCAGGAAAGTTCATTGATCTCTTTGAAGTAGTGATAGTATCAGTGGGCCTCTGAGGATCTGTGAATTTCAGGGTTAACCCTTAAGTAAAACACCTAACACAGGGAATAGCACTATACCTGATAAAGTTTTGTTACACTATCACTGAAACATTCTAGTCTTTGGTCCATTAGGTGTAGATGCAATGATTGCAGTATCCAACCCAAACTCCTTGAACCCATACCTTTAGATAAGCAGAAATGCTGGTGATTGTAGACAAGGGAATATAAAAGATGAGGGCACTCCAATGGGTCTGAATTTAGGGATGGTAACAACTACATTTTGATACAAACATGATACAAAGTGACCTATTAGGGCTTAAAGGGTGAAGCGGGTATCTAGAATTAGAATGTAAGAATACAAACTTATGCAATTTATTTCATTTTATTTACATCTTGGAATAATCTAATCACATGCCTCAATCAGAGATTGAACCACACAAACAACTTTTGATTAAGCCCTTTCCCCCCCACATCTTTTAAATATATCCCTTTGTTTTAAACCTTATAAATCACTGTTATTGCACACAATTGTTCCTGAAAAGACAGTGTGTTAAAACTGAGTAGTCTTAAAATAAATCATTAATTTGTTTTATTTTCCAGATTGGGCCCGGAAATTAGCCACAGTTTCATCAAATCCTAGACCACTCAATTCACTGCCAGAGCACTACTGTTGTGAAGGGAGGTGGCTTTGAAAGAAAGGCTTTTAAACTAAAGTAACCATGGCATTTTGAACAAAACATTCGGCATTCTTAAGTGGCTCCTTTAGGCTAAAATAATGGTTAACAGAACTACTTTTAAGTGTGTATCCTGATGGCTACAATCCTAAACATATTTACACATTGCAAATTCTCTTCCAATCAGTTGGCCAGTCTAGGGCAGGGAATCAAGATCAGCCTTGAGAGTTTGTCACCCGTTCTTAAGGCCCCACTAGCAGTCTTGTTGCTAATGTCGCCAAACCATCTCACATTTAGTCCAGTGGTTACATGTGGGACCAGTTACGGAGATAATTGCATCTGTTCAATAACTGCAACACTGTTAGGAAAAAAAAAAGAGAGAAGAACCTAAAGATATAGCCAAAGAGGAAGATTCCTGGCATCACAGACCCTGAAGGTGCTTTGGATGCAGAACCCAGTATGGCAGAGGGCTGCAGTGAGAGGATTAACTGCAAGTCTCCATACAGAAGAATTAACATCCCTGTACTGACAAGAAAGCCTGACAACTAGTCACCAGCTCCCTAGGCAAAACGATAGAGGTTCTCTAAAGAAATGCTCCCAAAGAAAAAAATCTTCACTCTGTTCTCTAGGGACTCCCCAAGCATAGCAGTTGGTCCCCTACTCATCACCCCAAAATAAAGTCTACCAGTTAATAAACTACCCCCAAGAACAGTTACATACATACATATATATATATATGTATATATACACACACATGTATTAATATAAATACATCTCCATTGCCTTAGTCTTAAGTTGTGAAGTAATAAATCAGGTCCATCAGCTAACTAATAAGCATGCCAGAGACAAAACGATAAACATTGGAGGTATTTTCCAAAGAAAGATTTCACAGAACTTGAGACAAGAAGCCTCCCAAATGAAAGCTTTGCTTATCTTTCTACTGGTTGTCAGTGGTCTATTTGTTGCAGTTTGTTGTGTTTTAGGGACATATGTTGACTTTTTCCAAACTTTTACTTTTCTCAGTTGTTTTTTAAAAATTTTGTTTAGTGTTTTTAAAATTTTACTTTGGTCAAATTTGTACATTATTTTCTTTAGGATTTCCAAGTTTCCTGTTTTTCTTTAGAAGGCTCTAAGAGTTATTTTCTGATATTACTTTTATTACTTAAAACTTTAATTTTTATTCTATTATAAATTTCTATGTTGAGATTGTTTTGCTATCATTCTTTTTAATGTACTCTTTAAAAAAAAATAATGTATTCTTTTCCCAGTGAAATGGAGTGCTTACATTATGTTCCCACATATGTTGCATCTATTTCTGGAATGTCTAGTCCACTTCCCTTACATATCTGTTCTTTCCCATGACAGTATCACATACTTTGATTTTAGTAGCTTTATACCACTTTAATATCTGGTGAGTAAAAACCTCCTCTCTCAACACATTCCTTTTTCAAAAATATCTTAGACATTCTTACATATTCATTTGTTCACCTAAGCTTCAATAATTTTTGTCCAGTAACAAGGAACACCATGGTGATTCTGACTGGAATGGCGTTAAATTCATATACTCATTTGTGAAGGAAAGGCATCCCCATTTAACTGTATTAATATATATAAACATACATACTAGACAGGTCCTCTTCACACTGAAGTATCTTGTTAGTCCTCATATAAAACACAGTTTGGTTGTTTGGCTTTACCCTCCTCTGGTTTTTCCTGCCAGCCTCAGCGGCCTCACCAGTCCCTCGCTATTTTGTTCAGTTGCTCAAACTTTCCAAATTATTTCAACCCTCTCGGTCTTTGCACATTGACTACTTATCTTTTTGGTCCGTTTAAATGCTGTATCTACTAAAGGCCTTCTCTGACCTTTCCCAAATTTAGATTAGGTTCTCCTGCACAGCACTTCAGTACTTTTCCATCCTAGCATATGTTTATTTAGCATGCTCTCCCCACTACAATAAGCTTTAGGAAGACTGTACTTATCACATACCTAATACCTAGCATATATACTTGATCAACAAAGATTATTTTAATAAGTTGCCTATAATTTTAAAAACTTAATTGTACCTGAAGAACATATCTCTCAACCAATTTAATTAGTAACAGCTCACATTTTTTTTTTTAACTTTTTGGCTGCATTGCGCAGCAAGTGGCATCTTAGTTCCCTGACCAGGGATTGAACCCGCACCCACTGCCGTAGAAACGTAGAATCGCTGGACCACCAGGGAAGTCCCCAAACAGGTCACTTAATTTGCTTCTGGACCATTAGTAACAACATGTTTTAATAATGTGATGCTTATAGCCAAGATAACAGACTCTAAAAACTATTAATAAAAATACATTTAGTAAAGATAAAACACACTTAGATCCTTTCAAAGATTCTGTTGCTGAGTTTTCCTCACTGTACCCCACAGACTACAAAGGTAAAACTCTGTCTTATATGTACTAGTAGTATTACTATTATTCCTCTTACCAGAACAAAAACACAATACACAAAACATACTAGAAATAGTTGGTTCTTTTTAATCAGCTATTGATGGTATAATAAAATAAATTTAAGTGGCACCTAATTTAAACATTTAAAATAGTTCACTGAAGGATGATCTACAATGCAGTATGTTAAGCCAAATAGTCAAAAAAACACCTTTTTTTTTTTTCCCAAGAAAGAAGAAATAAAGGTATGATCAAAATTATGACCAACAAGTTGGTTTCATTTGGACACTTATAGATGACTCTGTAGGCATACTGGCAGGCACAATGTTCAAATATCAACCCATCTGACTTTAGAAATAATGGTAAGAAAGCTATACATTTCAGAATTAATGTCTGAAATTAAAGAAAAATATCCACCAAATATCACAACAGATCTTTTAATGACTAAGTTTTTTAACAATACAATTGTTATTTTAGGGAACACTTTTTTCTTTCTTTGAACATTTAGCTAAATGTCCAATATGTTAAATAATTTACACAAGAGAAATAAGCTTTGTGTTCTGTACAAATTAGAGGACTCATGAATATAATCCCCCCCCATCACCAAAGCTCAAATTTGCAATGGTCTCAGCAGAAAATAAACAGTTCACAATTTAAACAGAATTTATAGCATTACAAAATTTACAGGACTCCTCTCTTATCATTTTCTCTCGAACAACAAAAGGTTACAGTGACAGAAATGAATGATCAGAATGTAAAAATATTTGTGCAAAACTGCATTAATTGTTCTTACCATTCAATAGAGGTAAAACCTATGAACACACAACAACAATAATGAAGAAAAACTACACTGAAAGTAATTCTATTTTAGATTTCAAACAACATTGATTATATTATTACTAAACATTAAAAGAAAACGTGGCACCATGAGCAGCAGGAGCAACAAATGATTCGGCAATTATGCCAGCTAAGAAAGCTGACACTGGAAAATGCCAAAGTGTATCTCCACACCAGCCATCCATCTCAAAAGACTGGAAACAACTGTAGGGCTTAAAACTCACTTCATTGTCTTTATTCTTGGAATTTGTAGATCATAAATGACATATTTAAGAAAGTCCTTTCCCCGCCTCTCCAGGAGTGTTTCTTGCATCACTGGAAATCCTTAAAAGAGCTGAATCATAGATTCTCTGGATTTACCTACACCAATCCATTTAACTGGGAGGGAGAAAAAGAGTATAAGAATAGTATTAATCCATGTATAATGTTCAATCTTTGGAATTAACAGATCCCCCACTTTTCTCAGTGTCACCATTTAACTTTCCCCCCAGGTCTTTTGCTATCTTTTCCCTCTATTAGCAGATTATGCCAATTTCTAAACAGAATGTGCAGTCAACATCCAGGACAGGGTAGTATGCCTTAAAATTTTCCTGTTTTTAATTATACAATATTTACAACTGTTCAGTTCCTAGTGATTAGTCAAATATTGGCCCAAACCATTAGCGACCTAAAAACCTTTAATCAAATTCCTAATTAACTAGAAAAGACAGGCATCTTTAATAAATGGATGACAGTAAGAGGACACTGAAGTGACACTGTAACTTCCATATCTCACAAAAACTAGAAATATCTGGAAGAGAATACTGGTTTAATTTGCACAGCCTGAGAATCTGGCTACTGTACCAGTCTAGGGGAATCTCTCCTCATCAGCACTACATGGGTAAACCTTTATGGCATTTTACAGATGTCACTGTTAAACTCACTGCTTTTTATATTTCAAAAGACGTTGACTAAGTACAATGAGCAAACATGCTTACAAGATTTAATATCAAGCTGGGAGACACAGCTAGCAATATGGAAAACAAGATTCATGTTTGGAGATGAACCACAAATATAATCAACAATATAAAATCAGGTTAAGTGCATAATAGATTTTATACAGAGGCTATTTTCCACTCTATCTTTTGTCTCTGAAATCTCCAACAGTACCAAAGGGAAAAAAGCAATGTTTTAAAAGAGAGATTTCACATAACTAGTTCATAGCCATAATTTAGTTATGTCTAACTCCTTGGTCAGCTTACTTTTTTTTAAATAAAGAAGTTTTACTCTTTATTCTTTCATTTTTTTCAAGTTGGATTTCCTATTTTCTGCATCTATTATGTCCTAATATCTAGTCAAGAAACCTCACCAACTCTCAAGGGTAGCTTAATCTCAAGTGGAAAAAAAATCACAAACCAGTTTTGATGGTGGTAAAGACACAAAGATTTATTATTAAGAGGGAGAAAGGAATAAGAATGAATGTCATAGGGCAAAAAGAAAAAAAGAGACTAACAGAATTAAAAACAGGGTCAAAAAGGGTGAGAGGTAATATATTGTCTTGAGGCATGTGAAGGATTAGAGAAAGATATTCTCTTTTCCTGGGCATCTGTGCAAATCATAAGCACTCTACAGAGAAATAATCTGTTTTTTATCCTATTTCAAAGATAGCTGAAATCAAAAGTAGAAAAAATAGTTGTTCATAAAGTATATTTACCTGGAATTTGAAGTTCATCTTCAATAAATCGAACATAGTTTTGTGCATTAATAGGTAGTTCCTTAAAAGTCCTTGCATTTGATATGTCTGTGTTCCATCCTGGGAGAGTCTTATACTGAACTTCAACTTTATTTAAGACTTCTTGGTTTGCTGAAAGTTAAAGAATAAATATATTTGCCCATGGTGTACACTGCCTATTGTCAAATGAGTTTTTAATACATCATAGGTTCACAATCTCTTACACTGGAGCCAGCTAATGTTTTGAAATTTATAATTTTTCAGAATTTAGGGAGGTAGAAAAGTACACCATCTAGTATTTCATAATCAAACATATTTTTGCAGCAATAGGATTATTCACTCTAAGTGGGTAGTATTATTAATTCTAACATCAATTCAAGTCAGGTT